TACATTCCCAAGTTCTTCGATCGATCGGTCGGGCAAGTGAGTGTAAGTAGTAAGTGTTTTGCCTTCTTTTATATAAGCATTTTCAAGAAATGCTCAAACACTCGCAGGTGGAAAAGCAGCGACTCTACTCCCATCGGATATCTGTACTCTGGGCGTAAGTCCCATGCCATGCCCATTTTAGTCGCTTGTACCCGAGATCGCAGGTTTTTAGTTATAGTCTACGACTAATGACCATAGATGAGTATGGGAATAAAAATCTACTTAAACACTAAGACGTCCTCGTCAGACTCAAACTTCGTAAATCTTAACGCGTTTCCCCACCCCATTCCATACTGGCTGGGCGTCCTGCTTATGTTCTAGCTAACCTCAGCATCTTAAGATTTTTATGCTCTGCGCATCTTGAGTAGACTCAGTAATATTATGCGATTTATTTTACTCGTTTACTTAATTTCCAGTTCTGCTACGGTATTCACAAGGCATGCGGTGAATCCTAAAACGTGAGCTTGACAACTTGGGCTGACATAGCTCATATTAAGTGAAAACATTCATTGTATGAACTCGAACAAGAGTATTTAGAGCTGCAGTCCGCATTATTTCTCAGATAAAGTATAGTTGATTCTTTCTATGATTCCGTCTATCATTTGAACTGAAATGACGATTTTTTTCAGGCATGAAGTGAGTGAAAAGGGGTCGAACCTTTCGTTAACTAAATGGATTAGGGCAAAATGTTCCTTATGGCCGTTATAATTATTATTTGAGTGCAAGCAAAGCTTGAAAGAGCTGCGCGTAGATTTATTGTTAATGGTTAAATGTCCTTAGCATATTTTGTGGATATTTTGTTGTCACATCTTGAACGTAATGCACTGCTGTTCGGACTTGCTGTTAGTTTAGAGCGGGTTTCATATCCATTTTGTAGCCTCTCAGACAATTAGTGGCTGGTACAACCATAGCAGTAACAAATTTTCGACTGTGGACGAAAAGAATTTAAAGCAATGTTCTTATTCTGTTGTGTGTTTGACTGTAGATAACGATCAAATGATGATCAGTCTGGAGGTGGCACTGATAACGATACGACAGTTTTGTTGTGTTCATATTTTTCGCTGGGAAATTTCTGAAACACATTGAACCCTTTATTGTTTACTAGGCTGACACTGTCTTATATATTAAAGCGCTGCCCATAACCTTTACGTGTCTAAAAATGCAAATATCATTTAGTGCGAATCAAGCAGCATGAGGCATTGCTCGAAGAAGGCGTGCTTGATCCTGAAAGTACGATTTTGGCCATCTTTCCGTCGCCCATGCTCTACGCCGGTCCAACCGAGGTGCAGTGGCACGCTAGGGCTAGAATCGCTGCCGGTGTTCACTATTATATTGTCGGGCGCGACCCGGCGGGCATTCAGCACCCTGACACAGGGGATTACTTGTACGATCCTTCCCACGGTCGAAAGGTGGGTTTTCATAAGTTTGGTATTTTTTTCATATTTAGCTTGTCTTAACGTTATTACACATGAGCTGCACTTATTTGCACGATGTAACAAATAAGTGGTTGTCGATGGAATATATTAATTTGACCTTTCAGCTATAGCACAGCTAACACTATTGGTAGATAGTCAGGTTCTCGGTCGAAAGATACAGGTTCAGATCTGCAGATCATTGATTTTTCATCCTTCTGTGACATATAATAAGTACACCTGCGTCGTAAGGAAAAATACGGTAACTTAGTGATAAGTATTGCCGTAAAAAAGCAAAATACTCCTTGGCGCTGGTTTCGAAGTTCTGTGAAAGAACGCTGTCAGAATTTGTGGTCATGGTTGTGGTGTAATGCAGGCCGACATCTTAGCGGCATTTCAAATTTTCTTGCATTTTCCAACCTGAAGGTTTTTCCGCATCGGCTCTAACATACCAAAGAGAGATCATGCTATCACATGTCGTGACGAACATCTGACGGGCACAGACTATAGTCGCTATGAGACGTATTCCCTAGATGATTGTTTTCGTTGCATTGTTCAAAATGCTTTTTTGTCTGTCGTGATAACATCTTAAACTGATACCAACATAGTGCCGTTAATGACTAAATTCCGATGCAATTTCTGAATTCGTGGTTACTGACACGAAACAGTGAATAAATAATTTATTTAACGCAGATAAGACACTTCAACTGAATCTCCAGTGAATAAGTAGTAAAATGAACAGCGAGTAAGCTGAACAATGAACAAATTGTTCCGGCCAAACAGTCTTTGTTCCGATTAACGAATTAAGTAGGCTCCCCGCAGAAATATCAGATGAGCTAACGCAACCATTGCAAATTCAGTTACGTGAACAGCCGACTCCTTAGCAGAAACATAAGATATTAAATGTCATTTAATAACTGCGATGGACCGCTTCACATCAACAAAACTTGTAAATCGCTAACAACCATAGCAGCTGACCACTGGGTCACTAATAACCGTAACAGTGGCTATTTGGAGTTTATCATGTCTTGATAATAATGATATTATCAATCAAATGATTGCTTCATACAGCAACAACCCGAAACAGAACAAATAATATTTGTGTAAGTCCTTTTATATTTCCGCGGCGTCGAGAATAATTAGTTAATTAATTGCCTCATTAACAACACTTCAAATGTTCCGTCAGTCGAGTGACACCGATTCGCCTATGCAGTTGTATCCCTTGCTCTTTGTTCTTTGATGATAACCGATGAAAAAAATTTATTCTAAATAGATCTGTTTTGCATAAAAATGTTTATCTTATCTTTCGTTCATTCAGAAATTGTCGATGATTTACCTATGCGTATCCGCAGTTTGGCGATTTTCAAAAAAAATCTTATTGAATAATAAAGCCTTGGGAGCAAGATGGGGGAGTAAAAATTTTCACTCTACCCGCTGTTGAGAGGATTGACAACATGTTAAAATCGTGTTGGTAATTTACATGGTATTTTGCTTACTTAGTCTTGCTTCCAGATGCGGAGGACAATATTCATTTCTTTCATTATCCTATTAACTTCATTTCAACATAATCTAAATCGTTCTACATCAACACCATGACTTGTTAATAGGTTAGACGATACAATGAAAAGATTTAACCATTTTGTTTCATAAGAAATGCAGGCAGTGCCTCGCGGTCCTTTCTTCCCTGTTGCTGTTCGGCAAAGGGAGGGTCACTGACTTACGGAAAGTTGGAATCGTAGTTCGCCTTTGCTGTTACTACATAACTGGGAAGAAAAGAATGTTTGTATTCTGTGGGTTGTCATTAATGCTACCATAATGGACGTCATTTATATCGTCCTATTTACGATAAATATGGATGGTGCTGACCTCTGCCACGATTTCTTCAGGAATTAGGGATGAATTTGTTTGAATTTGTTGAACGCAATCTCTGTAACATTATCGCCACAGAAGTCTGCAGTTCTCCTGTCTCCTTTCCCTCTGTCATAGTGTTTCGCATATGACCGGCCAAGATTCATGTTCACGGTGTTTTGATAGCGTTGAAACACGCAATATATTTGTTTTCTTGTTTTAATTTTTAATTTCGTAACTGGTCAGTTTATAAATCAGATAAACTTATTATTAATATTTTGTGTTACTTTAGGTTCTCACAATGGCACCGGGACTGTCGTCCCTCGAAATTCTGCCCTTCAAAGTTGCTGCTTATAACAAAATTAGTCGAAAAATGGAGTACTATGACCCGGAGCGAAAGGAAGAGTTTGACTTCATATCGGGAACTCGCATGCGAAAGTTGGCAAAGGAAGGTCAAGATCCTCCCGACGGATTTATGGCTCCAAAAGCTTGGCTGATTTTATCGAATTACTACAGAAATTTGCATAAGAGTGCTGAGTCTTAAATGTGCGTTCGTTTTTATTCTCGTTCTTTTGTTTGCTCTGTAAGCTATGAGTATCTCTTTGGTTCATTTTTTGATGTTAGGTGTCTTATTGCAGATGGATTTTTTTGCAGTTCATTTAAGTAACGTCTGACAAAAGAAAGCTTTTATTTTTCGATGCTGAACAGCTTGTCAGTTTGTTGCTATAGATCGTATTTTGTTATTTTCATGCCGATCTTGCCTGATGGCGTATTTAATTCGAAATCTAGGCACATCATGCTAAAATGCATCCTCTTCTGTAAGGCATCGTCAAATGGTTTCGTATCTGATGTGTCCCTCGTTTATGTCAGATACCTTGAAGGCGTTTTCATTGTACAGAGGGAAGCGCGGAATCGTTCTCAATTTTGCCAAAGCCTTACCACTGCTGTACATCTGTACGGAAGAAAAGAATTTCGAACAATGTCGGTCGGGAATTTCGTTGGCTAGAATCAGTTTTTCTAAGGTTCAGGAGCAGCTGGCCGAAGGTACATATGAGTTGCGGTAATATGTCACTAATACATACTTTATATTCAATAAAATATACAATTGTTTATAAATAATTTAAGGATATATGATTACAAATGATGCATGATATTTAAATTATGATGA